TTAGCTATTTTGAAAAAGAATAGTCTGAATATCTAGCCGGTAAGTCCTGAAGAGTTTACGACATTGGTAACCCCTTTGAATTGTTATTGTTCTCCCTTCAAATTAGTGGCTTATTTTCAGTTTGAAGTGTTAATTGCATCTTGAAGATGTGGCATCTTATTATTCCTTTTTATGATAGATTTTTAAAAATCAAGTTGATTGAACTCCTTTGCCTTCTGTTGCAGGAAGAATTTTTGGCTTTTACATTTTTTCCTTGTGCTCTCCCTGGTTTTCAATGTAAATTTCAAATTGAAAATGTTCAAACTTGGGTATGTTATTCTAGAAGGCATCTCAGTAACAACCTGTACAGAACTTCAGGAGGGCCTTTAAAAGCAGTTTATGTAAGGCAGCAAGAGAAAAAAACTGTATTCTTCCAGTGGGTTTTTATACCCACAGTTACGCTGTGGTTGTGAAGGTGTCCTGGCATTCAATACTTGAAGAATTTTTTGGCCTTACAAGGCCCCACAGAGTCGGCAGGTTTTTCATTTCCCTACATCTTCCATTGGTGAGGCCTCTGCTTTGCTGACGACGTGTATGGCCTCATCAAATGGGCAACATCACATCGGTTAAATGAAATGCATAATTTCTTGCCTCTGGACACTTGACTTCTTGCTTACCAGTCATAAGGAATGGTTTCTACTACAGCTGCTCCAGATGGTGTTTGTAAGCATGGAAGCAAGGCCCTGTGTCCATGCATATCCATTGCTCAGCTCCCAGTTCCCCGTTTTCCCAAGTGTTTCCTTCGGGTACCAAGGAAGTTGTCTCCTTTCCTATCTCCTCTTTTATGCTTCAACAGTATCTTCAAGCTAACTGTTCCAGGCCCACATATAGGAAGACTTATTTATATTTCAGGGTGCACAACACGTCTTTCAACTCGAAGAGTAGTGAAGTCAGAGCGATTCTCAAAGATTTGTTGACTACGCACAGCCTTGTCAGCACCTTTGATCCTTCCTCTGAACTGTGTCTTATTGCACCTGAACAAAAGAAAACAGTACTAGTGCCAGCTCACAGACTGGTTTCATAACTGGCAGGCACCATTTGCTTTTTATGAGCATCTTATCTTCAGGCCAATGGAGCTCACTGTTTTAATCTCTAGTATCTTCTGTTTAAAAAGTGAAATATATGGCAAGCTTTCTCTAATGTTTACTTAACTTCAAGGCCTTCTGGCAAGTCCCACCCTTGATCATTAATCTTTCCTGGGCTAGTATTTCTATGAAATACACTTTTTTTTTATTATTTCCAAGCTTTATTTCAGGCAGTTATCCTTGCAAGATAATCATGTGAAGTATAGAACTAATTTTTTTCTTCATTGTCATTCCCCTTAACTGTGGACATTTTTGAGTTTACAAAGTATCCCAAATTGGTCAGTTTAAACTGAAGGGTTTTGCCAGGGTTTTTTCATAGTTTGGCATCCTGGGGCAAATGTTTCTTGTGCTTTCTTTAGTTTTATCACTGTTCTGACCATACTTCCAGATTTTACTCTGAACATCCTTTTACTGGTAGCATACATATAGAACTTTTTCTTGTTAGTGCTTACATACACTAGTTCTAGGTCTTTCACATGATTACAGGTAAATTTTACATTAAATATCACATTATTCATTGGTGCATGTGTTTTCTCTGATTGGGAGACTGAATCAAATACTTTCATGTAGTCCAGCCAAACTGTCTTAGACTTCTGGTTAGTTAACATTCTATATAGGCTTTTCAAACAGAAAATGGTCCTCTGTTTCTCTCCTCTTTTTTGGTTAACATCCCTTGCCCTTCCAACCACTGAAATACCAGGGGTTACTGTCAGGTAATACAGTCAGTATTAGTAGTTCCAAAGTAACTTGGGATGATGGAAACTTTTGGAGGCTTCTACCTTTCTTTGATTTCTTAGGAGTTATAGTTTTGCTTTCAAAGTTTTCTACTACTATTTGGCAATCTTTTATTCCCATGACTGTCCTTGGTGTCTACATGGCTGTTCTCTATTTTGTCTGTACTATAATTCTGCAAGAATAACATATTGGTTTATGCTTGTAAAGCTCTCAAACACCAAAACTCTGGCTCTAGTTGGAACGTATAGGCACTGTTTAATTACAATGAAAAACAATGCTGTTTAAATTATTTCGCATGAGCATCTTGCATAAGGAAGCAGCTCTGATTTTGGTTTGTGGTACTAAAATGGTGCTGTGTGCCTAGATAGGTCTTTTAAGAAGGGGCGTAAAGCTGCAGAAAAAACAGCTCTTCCTCTGATCCACTAAGCAAATTACTGTTAACTAGGGTCTGGTTTGCACATTAGAATAATTTTTATCTTCTTTCTAATTGCAATTGGCTCTGAGATTCTCTTCTACTGTGCATTTTACCGTTATTACCAACCTATCTCAGAACCGATCATTACCCTTGAGTCCTCAGCCATTTTGCCTCTAGCTCCCTCATTTACTTAATTGGCTCATGCAAGATGTTTAACTGGCGGCCAATGAGACAGGCAGCTCCTCTATATGCAGTGTATATTTTCTTTCTGGTAAGTGCTCATCTAAACCAGCAAAGCAAAAGCTTGCTTCCTCTCCTTCTCCCCCCACCATCTTTTGGTTTTGTGCTAGCTTTTAATTATGATTTTGTCCTTGCATAGAATCAAAGAATTATTTTGATTGGAAAAGGCCTTCCAGATCAAGTCCAACCACTAACCTAACTCTGCCAAGTCCACATGGCTGGGTTGGAGGGGGGGTTTATTGTCAGAATGTATTAGTGTTTCCTAATTTCTGCTGAAGTCATCTCTGTGTTAAGCTCAGACAATTTGCCTCACTTTCTGTGCCAAATTATTTTCCACTTTTTATCAAAGAAACAGTATTATGAGGCTTCTTTCATTCTAAAATTACCTATCTGTAATCAGCTCTCAATTACCTTTTGCCATTCTGTTCTAGTGCAGGTTGTTTGTGTCCTAAGTGTAGAAACAGTCTGTGTTAAACAGTGTTATTGATTAGGTTTTATACAGCACTGCTCTAACGCTCTTTCCTACGGCATGGAGTTAGAAGTAGAAGTCCCAGTTGTTATTGTCTAGGACCAGCTCCTGTGGATGCTAGAGAAGCTAGAAGCTAGTCCCAGCCAGACCTACACTGGCTGCTTGTCAGAACAGCCTAGTTGCCTCTGCAGTAAATTTCAGCACACACTGAAGTTTTCTGAGCCCATCTCAAGTCTGGCATGGAAAAAATCAACCTGGAATGTAAGTGCTGAGGTAAGTGCTACAAAAGCCCCACAGTTGTTGATGCTGAGGGTTGCACAAGAGCTTATGTTTGGACACAGTGCTATACCCAAACTCTCTCCATGCATTTGTGTCACAGCAGGCCAGATTTTATAAGCTCTCCTGGCACCTGGTATTCTGGAAAGTGTGATGTGAAGGCTGAGCTGGACTGGCAGGATGAGTGCTTATCCAGAACTGATAAATTCTGGGCAAATACTTCTGCTCTGTATATTTAAATGCATTCCACAGTACCCATACTGTTAGGGATTATTCTTCAGGTAGAAGAGGACTGACTATAATGAGAGACAGCAGAAATCCAAGCCAGTAAGCCATACACGTAATCATCTCTGAAACAGATCTAGAGAATACCATCTCTACAGTAGACACAAAATAACAATTGTCACTAGTATTTGGTATGCCAGTATCAGGCAGTGGTTATCTGCCGTGGCCTATGAGTGTCAAAAGAGGCCTGTGTAATAGATAGCTGGTGGGTATGCAAATTAGATATAAATCAAGCAGCTGCCTAAGCACAGAGTAGTATTTATTGGGTAGAAATGCATCAATAGCTATGCTTAATGTCAATGATATGTGTCTGGAAGGACTAGCATTGCAGGACTAGCAAAGAGATGGGTACAGAGCAGTGGCTGAGCAAGGGGTTGTGAGGGTATTAAGTGTGGATACAGGAGCTTGCAAGAAGTTACTGATACTACAAGGCTACTACAATTAAGATACATAAACTGAGATTGAGCAAGGACTGGGACTTTAGAAAAAGGGCCATGAGAGAAGAGTTTTGACATTTAGCAGTGTCTGACACCTGCTGTCTTGGTTCTTTCCTGGTGGGTGTCTTGAATATTGGGCTGTGTTGGGTTCTGTTCTCTGTAAAATAAACCAGGTGGACAGAGGAGCTAGAGCAAAGTCAATGTCTCTTGTGTGGCTCCCATGGAGATGAAAAAAAAAGTAATTTTTTTCTTTCATCCAAACCCCTGGATGCCATTAGTATAATATCTTCAGATTACATGGGAAGGTTTAGTCACCTTACAAGAGCAAAGCAGGAACTTGTCAATGTACACAAGTGTTGGCACATATACCATTTGGGAAGTCCAACTGTGTTACCCTACAAATATATCAATGCAAGGAAATTTGGAGTATACATGCTGGCAAAAACAAGCAGTTACCAAGGATGTTAGAGGTTGCTAAACTTTCTAGTCTAAGGTTCTACATTCTGCATTGTAGTAATAAAGTTGTGGCTTGTTTCAAACTGTGAGTCATTATTCTTGCTGAAACATGCCCTTCACAAATTACCTTTCAAAGGCAGAATAATCCACAGGTTATTTTTAGAGACTTTCGTTTTCTCTTTTGTCTTTCTTGGCAAATAACCAGGTATTTTGTTAATAACATTACAAATAAATAGCTAAAATTCATTTTAAAATAAGAAATCGGATCCTAGTACAGTTTTACTCAACCTTTTTGCTTTCACTATTTCTTTCTTCTACTGTCTCATATGATTTTTGTTCTCCTTTCCCACAGAGTGCTTGTTGTCTGTCCTGTCTTGTCCTGTCTTATCAGTATGTTTCATCATCTCGTTAAAAGTAACGTGTATTAAAAATTAAGAATATAACCAATGTGTACCAACTTCTTAAGCATTATTTAAACTCACCCTCCTGCCGATTGGTTTATCCAAAATAGTTATGAACCGAGCTGTGAAAAGATGTTTTCTTTTTTCTTTTTCTTCTTGCAGTCTGCAAATGATAACCTGCATACAGACGATGAGCACGAACTCAGAGGAGATAAAGAAAGCTATCTCTGTGCAGTGTGCCTGGATGTTTATTTCAATCCTTACATGTGCTATCCATGCCACCACATCTTTTGTGAACCTTGCTTAAGGATGCTTGCCAAAGACAATCCAGCCAGCACTCCGTGTCCACTGTGTCGCACTACAATTGCCAGAGTCTTTTTCCAAACAGGTACAAAAATGAAAATTTTTGCAACACGGAATATTATTTGTATTTTTTTCCCTGTATTTATGGCCTGAACAAATATGTAGTTAAAAGTATAGTACAACCCTGCTAACCTAATACAGTTGTAAAAAGAAGAAATAAATAAATAATGATGTGCAATGGGCCAAATCCAAAATGCACGCAGAGCAAAATTTGTTGATGTTAATCCACTATGAGGCTTTCTTTGCATTTAACTCTTCCTAGGATATTCCATGCAGGTTTTCTTCAGTGGCAAGAAACTATTCTGGATGCATTTTTCAAGACTTCTTGATTTTCAAACTGAGGTTCTGATATTTTGCATTTATTTGGTTTCCTCTTGCTAAATAATCACAAACTCCAAATATAATAAACATTTTCTCAAAATATCCTACCAGAAAAGTGGTTTTAAAATTCCTAGCTTAATGACACAAAACAAAAATGCTCTTTTCTTGGTTTTCTGGCCTTAATTTAGCTACAAGTGAAAATAAAGGCTGGCAGAAATATAGAATCCTCCTAAATAATCTTACTTTTAAATTTGCCCCTCCTAGCCTCTTACACCCTGATTTCTAGTGTTCCTGACTTTTAGCAGTAGGAAAACATGGTGGGTAAGGGGTGTTTGATGTCAGAATTGGTACAGGCATAGAAGAGGGTAAGTAGTGTTGTAGTCCGGATACCTGGAACAGCATGAGTGAGTCTTTTGTGCCTGGAGCTTAAATTGGTAAATTTAAGCACCATGGATAAAATTGGTCTGTGATATCTGGATTTAGGCCCTTTACAGCACTTAAAACTGTGCATAGACAAGTCATAAAGTAGTGGAAATAACTCAGCCGCGCGGGAGAGTTTGTTTACTTTTGCACGCCGCAGAGATCTTGCAGCAATCCTTTTTAAACTGGGAGAGTGCTGTGATGATGACAGGTTGGGGATGCAGATTAAAGTATGATTTCACATTGATCAGCAGAGCTGCCCAGCTTCTATTTCTGGTTGTGCACAGACTCTTCCTCTGCACAGGCACAACTTTGTATAATTTGGTGGCAGCCCAGTTTGTGGAACTGACTGGACTAAATAAGAACTCGTTTAGGGGGGAAGGAGGTATTTTTCAGACAAACTAATTGGCTCAGAATGGTTCAGTGGGGACCTGCTGGTGGTCAGGGATACGGACTGACTATATCAGCACTGCAGCAGAGAAAATGGGTGGAAAGATGCATCCTGAGCACACTCAGCACCCTGCCTAGAGGTTTCAAGCTGTTCTCATTTCATTCATTTGATGTTTGATGCTCCTTTAGATTTGATGTACCTATGAAGTGTGTTTCACCAATAGAGAATTACTTAGTTGTTTTAAGGCTATTTAAATTTTAAAAACACTATTTAACAGATTTGCTGCAGTAGAACACTACTGGGAGTGCACAGAGACAGGTGCTTGCTGAAATGTATTTGCAAAACTTTCAAACACATCTAATGTACAGTTATTTAAGTGAACTATTACGTAAATGGATTATTTGTACATACCCAATGGGAGGGAATAAAGAGGGAGCTGGAGTTTTCTCAGCAGTGCCCACTGACAAGACAAGAGGCAGTGGGTCCCGTAGACTTCTGTATGTTCAGGTTCCTCAGGTGGTCTCAAACCTCATCTTCTCTTGGAGTGGGGGGGACTTTGCTCTCTCAATCCCTGCCTTGCAGTCCATCCACTCAAGAGATGTGAGGAGAGAGATTTCCAGTGAAGACTGAGGCAAAACAGTTAAGTACCTCAGCCTTCTCCTCCTCGGTTGTTACCAGTTTGCCTGTCTTGCTCATCAGGCGGGGTACGCTTTCTTTGACCTTCCTTTGCTGGCTGACATACCTGTAGAAGCCCTTATTATTATTCTTTGCATCCCTTGCCATTCAGGTTGTAATTTCTCAGTGCATAACATACTGAGCAACTTTTTAATCAACCAAGAAATATTGATGAAAATCATCTCTTTAGAGAAATCCGTAAAATCAACACATTGAGGAAGATGGATGGTGCCAATGTAAAGGATAGGAAATTATTTTTTTTACTCAGATTTATTAAGCCTTTCAGAAATTATGTTAAAGTCACTGCTGCTATGGGTTTGTGCAGCCAGACAAAGTTGCTAGCATTCTTACATATTTCTCTTATGCTACAGCTGGGATGTCTTATTTCCTTCTAATTTTTTTTTTCTGGATGCTTTCTACAGCTTTCCTTTTGTATAACTGTATTCTATTTTACAAGGATATCTCAAAAAGAGACCATTTTAGAATATGTTCAGAAGTTCACTTTTTAGCTTGTACAGTTTTGCAAACTGAACATAGCTGAAACAGAAGAATGCATGTAACATGTACAAAAAGATGAAGGCTAACAGGTGGATTATCCACCAATTATGAAGAAAAAGGGTATTTAACACAGAGCTACGAAGCCAGATATGACCTAGGAGCTGACATGCTGGAGAGCAGCTCTGTTGAAAAAGACCTGGGAGTCCTGGTGGACAGCAGGATGATCATGAGCCAGCAATGTGCCCTTGTGGCCAAGAAGGCCAATGGCATCCTGGGGTGCATCAAGAGAGTGTGGCCAGCAGGTCGAGGGAGGTTATCCTGCCCCTCTACTCTGCCCTGGTGAGGCTGCATCTGGAGTACTCTGGCCAGTTCTGGGCTCTCCAGTTCAAAAAGGACAGGGAAGTGCTGGAAAGGGTCCAGCAAGGGGCTATGAAGATGATCAGATGTCTGGAACATCTCTCTTGTGGGGAAAGGCTGAGGTTTAGTCTGGAGAAGACTGAGGGGGGATCTAATCAATGCTTATAAATACTTACAGGGCAGGTGTCAGGGGGATGGGCCCAGTGGTGCCCAGTGACAGGACAAGAGGTAACGGGCACAAACTTGAACATAAGAAGTTACATCTAAACATCAGGAGGAACTTCTTTACTTTGAGAGTGGCAGAGCACTGGAACAGGCTGCCCAGAGAGGTGGTGGAGTCTCCATCTCTGGAGACATTCATAATCCGCCTGGACATGTTTCTGTACAACCTGCTCTAGGTTGTGGGGGTGGACTAGATGATCTCCAGAGGTCCCTTCCAACCCCATATTATTCTGTGATTCTATGAGGAGTTGTTCCGATGGTGTCCACCGTGCATTCCCATATTTCTTAAAGCCTTTCTTAAAAGCCCTTCTGCCATCAGGATAAGCTGACATCTGGTCAGATGATAGGATGCCCAGGGTACACCTAAGAAAACAGCTTTTGATCTGATTGCAACAACACACTTCAAGTAACTCAGTGTTTTAAATGCCTCTTCTATTAGGGGAAAGAGTGAGCCAGGGATTGGCTTCTACGCTTCCATTCATATAAGGTTGGGTATTTCTGAGAAGAGCCAGATCTGGCACTCATGCACAATAAACCCACCGCTTTGTAGAAACGCAGACTCAGTGCAGTGGTTGTGCATGGAAGGTCCAGGCACATGGCAGGGAAAGGGTTACATACAGAAAGGCAGGTGGCCTGGCCAGCGTGAAAGGATCTTTCTTAAAAGCCTAATCAAGCAACCTTCTAAAAGCCAATGAGAGTTGTCACCACTGCCTTTTCTGAAAAACAGGAATTAGATGCCTCACCAGAGGTCTAAGTGTTTAAATTTGGACAATAAAGTTTAAAGAACTGGGTCGATTTTTATGACCTGTAGAAGGAAACTAAAATATTCTCTGTTGATGCTGTGAGAGGCAAGCAGAGTCTCATCAGAGGCTATTTCTCTGAATTCAAGTAGCGCTTAATCCAAATGTGTTCAGTAGCATATAAAGCTCTTACATAAAAATTAAAAACCACTGGTGAAAAATACACAGCTTGATCCTTTTACATTTAGGACAGAAAATGGCCTCTTTCCCTTCACTGACAGGGGTTTATGAGAGCAATAGCGCTGTTCTCACAGAATGAGATAGAAGGATTTGGAGATTTCTGTACCCTGCACATGTTGTGTAGCCTCGCTCCACCTGCATTCTGACACAGTGAAATACAGGATAATTTTTAGAATAAGACCAGCGTATTTTTTTTTTGCTTCAAATCTGCTAATACCTTCCTCTTACATAGAAAAAGCTACTGCAACCAAAGGGTATTTGGAATTTTTTCTCCCTTCTGGAGCCTGCTCTCAAAAAGCTTAGCTTTCTCAAGTTTGCCAGAGAAAAATATTTGATCCTTTCATAAAATATTGATTTTTTAAGAAGTATGTACGATTGCAATGAACCACATAAAGTAATAATACGTAAGGCTTTTCAAAGATATGTGAAGGACTTTTTTTTTTAATTTTCCATTAACTACTAGCTTGACAAGTCTGTTACCAGCAGATCACTTCTTTTCTGTGGTAGGGAGGAAAATACAATTATTTTTAAATTGTTTTCCATTGGTGTGTTGCTATGGATAGTTTAGTTTTGACAGTTTTGAGTTGAAATATAGATATTTCCCCCAAATTATATCCCAAGAAGCTGATGATTCCTTGAAATTAATAAGTTATGTCAACTCATTCAATGTGTCATTAATCATTCTACAAATGCATTCTTAATTCCTATTAATCCAAAATATTTTTAAAATCTCCAAAATACTTCTCAGACTCTTCCCCTCTCCTTGCATTACTGTTACTGTGTGATGATGTTAAAGAAAATACAGTATGAACTGAAATTAATACCACAGTCAATTTGATACATGCCGTTTTCATTCATAGACTTCATCATAGTTTTGTAAATTAAATTGCCTGATATGTTATGTACTTCATTTTGCTAGAACTTGACACCATCTCTCCTAAATGCTTTTTTTCAGGGGAACAGAATCAAAACAGCATGTTTAAGACTTATTCTTGCTATATCTAGAAATGCTTGGATTTAAATAATTTTAAAATTATTTAAAAGATGTTATAATCAGAAAAAGGATTACACAGTAGATAAGGCATTTTTATTTTGTAGTATAAAAGTATGAAAATTATTGCTATATCTGCAGCATTTATGTGTGCATTCTTTCCCATTAACTGTTGTAGAACTGAACAACTCTACCAAATCTTTTTTCCCTACGGAATATTTGAAGTTAAAAGAAAATTTTCAAAAATCAAATTCTGCAAAATGGCCTCTACCAAGCTGCAAGAAAGCCTTCAGAGTTTTCGAAGGTAAGTGTTTTAATTTTTCTCTAAACTTCATTCAGTCTTGAGTATAATATTAGAAAATAAGTCTCTAGCTATACATGCCATAGGAAATCAGCAATGAGTGATTATTAAAGTAGAGCTAGTTAAATTCTCCTGATTTACTCATACACAGTGTTCTGAATTTAAAGGTAAACTGCAAATTGCAAAAAGACAATTTGTATCTTTACCTGTTCATTTATTCCTAAATTTTAATTTTTGCACACATTATTAAGCTAACTGTATGTCGTTTCCTGTTTGGAAAAAATTGTGTTCGCATAATGGAATAGTGGAATAAAAGAAAATTAGTCTGGGAAAAAAGTTAGTAGTTCTAAGTGTGGTCAATAAAGACCTCTTCAAAAAAAATCAGAAGCATTCTTTTATGAATGATTTCATATTGATTGGATCATTTTATCATGTATTTAATAACATTGTAAGTGTAGCCTTTGCATGCCCTTAAATTGGAGTTGGATTCTATAAACACTGTACAGTCACAGAAAGTTCACAAACTAAGAGTAAGTCTCAAAAAGCAATTTGATACCACCATGTGGACTAAAACAAGTGATAAAGGTCATTTCAACTGAAATACAATACTTAATTTGACAGCGACTTTGGTGTAGTCAAGTGCAGGAATTAAAAAACAGGCTGAGACAGTACTCTGGGCCTGAAAGTTCATGCATAAATCTGACATCGAAATACATTTAGGAGACCGGAGATACAGAATAGAGTAGTCAAGGTATTGATGGTAATGTTGTAAAAGGGTGCGGGCTGTCTTCATGTAAAGATTGTAGATATGCCTGAAGATAAGTAAGTAGCCAGGTGTTCAGAATGAGAGACTGTGAAACCTCTGAGTTACAACCCTTGGGGACTGTTTCAAGATATAATTATTCCTAGACTAATAGGAGATTTTCTCCAACTGCTTTCATCCTAATGTTTTTATTTTTTTACTGTTTTATTTAAAATATACTGATTAAATTTAAAGTGGGAAAGCCTATTTAGAAATAGAGTAATTCTTTTTTATCTGGGTTTTTTCAAATGCTTAGTCTAGAGAACATTGCACCAATGTTGCATACAATGAAATCTGTGCTAGTTTTTTACTGATCTCGTCTGTTTAGAGACTTAATAAAAAGCTGTCGACTTCTGCATCAATCAAGGATTGGAAGATACATGTTTTTTTAATGCCTGCTAATAGTAGCAGAAATTCCTACCACCTCAGCAGGTCACATCTGCCATGTCCTTTTATGTAATCATTCTCTAGAGAAAAGGGTGAGCAATTTCCTATGTATTTAAAAAAAACAAAAAAACCCAAAAAAAACGTTGTGAAAGTTTTTAATAATTAATGTTGGTGCATTTTTGTATCTCTCTGTCTTTAAAATCAGGGTACAACACTTTATACTTTCTTGATTCAAGATTCTTCTTACCTTGATTTCAGTTAGATAAGCAATGAAGAAAGGATGTTAACAGCTGTGAAAATTTGCATCTATAATTTTAAGTTCATACTTCTGCATTTAAAAATATGAAAAAATTGATACTGGTTTTCAAGTTTCTGATACTGTCATCTACTGAAAGGGGAAATAAGATGACTTGCTGAAAATAGAAGGTGTAGCATTGATTTTAGCTATAATAATAATGCTGGAGTAGAAGTCTCTGAGAATAAATTGAGCTACTTTTCCCAAATCCCACTGTTCCATCCTTCCCTATTGCATCTTTTCTTTCAGTTAATTTCCTTACTTCCTCATGTCATTGTTTCAAATTGTTTGTTCCTTTGTCATACCACTCAAGACTGTGGTTGTGTGACCATGTAATCTTCTTCACTAGTAGGCTTTCCTTTTTTAGCCAGGATCCATCAGATCCTTCAGTATAGTTTATGGAACCACAAAAAGCTAATTTGCACACATGCATTTCCCACAAGACACATTTACAGTCTACAGTCTTCACTGTGAAGAATTCACAGTGAATTTTCTGCCTCAGGGAGACACACATTACTGAGAAGCGTTGTCTTTGAGCATCTGTTACGCCTGTAGTACTTGAAGACAGAAAGCACATAATCCAAGCCCTGCTGGTTGAGTGTGTCTTCGGTCAGCTGCGCTGGTGACAACTTTGTCATTTTGCTGATTTGTCAGCACTTGGAGCCTAACGCTTGCACCCACTTTCCTTGCCCACAAGTCCTTTCAGCTCCAACAGGTTATTGGTAAGAAACAACAGACTGATTTGTTGATTTCAAGGTCCCAGTTGGGTCCCAAGGAGCAGCTGTGTTCCAACTAACCTTCAAGCCTTCATTTCAGCACCTTACCATGCAGAAATGGGTCTGAAAAAAAAAAAATTAATTGGAAGTGAAACTGTAAGGTCAGTGCCACAGACATATCTTAAGCTCCAGCCCTGTTAGCACTGCCACTTTCTGTCCCTGCTGTTTTGCCAACTGCGTTAGTACAAAGGTTGTGTAAGTATCAATACTTACAACCTGTTTATCTTTTAAACTGTTTTAAAAGAGGCTGTTCTTTAGAGATGTCTTCAGAGCCACAGTCCCACTGGAAAAGATATGTAGCCTTTTCCCAGTCCTGAGGACTCCATCCAGAGATAGCCTGTGTAGGAGACAGTGGTGTACCTCTCAGAAATTATGGCTGCTCAGCCGTCTCTATTGCTTCATCAGTGCATTGAAGGGAATCAAATTCTAGCTAATCTGTATGTGTTATAGGATTTCTTGTTTCCGTTTAGCTGTGATAAGACTGTTGTACTGAGAATATTGATAGCTATAATTATGCAACACCAAGGATTATGGTAGAACGGCCATGGCAAAAAAGCATATTGTGCCCTTTCCCCCTGGATTTCTTGGCATGTCCCTAAATGGTTGTTAAATTGGTATCTTTAGTTCTGCTTAGGGAATCAAGTGTTTATACTGGCTGCAAAGACAAACAAGTAATATTTTAGACCTCTTACACAGCAGTGGCCCCACAGCTGTATCAGAGGGATCCAAATGAACTTGTAGGGGAGTTATAGGTATTGTGCTTTTCACCCTGCAGCTTACAAAAAGTCTTTGAAGAAGGTTCTTTTCTGAAGATGCTTGAAAAAAAACAACTGTGTTCAGGATAAGAGGAAAAGTCCTCTCATCCATTAATAGCTGGTTAAAAGATACCAAACAAAGAATGGAAATAAATGATTCATTTTTCTCACTGGAGGGACATTAGCAGTCTGGTCCTAGACGGGTGTATGGTACAGTTTGTACTATCCCGCATATTTGTTACTAGAAACAGAGGTGATAACATTTGTTTACAGTACTGAAATATGCAGGATAATAAAAATGAAAGCCAAGTGCAAGAAGTGGCAGAATACTCTCCGTACTGAATGATCTTCAGCAATGTTTACATTGTTTCCTTTAAATGCAAATGGAGGTAGTAAACTGGAAGGGTACAGACAAGATAAATAAGAATGTCAGTTTTAAATTACTTCCTGATGAGAAATATGTAAATAGACTAGAATGCTTCAGTCAAAACAAGAGATGACGAAAAAGGGAAGATGATAGAGGTAATTAAAATCATGAGAGGCATGGCAGAAGTGAATGGGCTGCTGTTACTCACTGTCTAGTAATAAAAGAACTAAAGGACACTAAATAAAATTATCATTACCCCAGAGTATGGGTTCAAATAATGGCAGACTCTTGGAAGAAAAATTGAGTGAAGTATATTAAACTCAAAGAGGCAACATTTGCCTGTGAAGATCCTTGAACTGCAAGTCTTTGGGAACTGGGAGAGAACACATGGAAACTAATGCAGTATGCTTGCCCCATTTTTATGTTCTTTTCTTGCCATTCATCAATTCCTCATTGTTTGACCTCGTCAGAGAAAGAATGATAGGGCAGGGAACCTTCTACTCTAGTTTTAGTATGCCTGTCCTTATGAGATGGCCTACAATTTGATGGCAATTGTGTCTTCCATTACAATTTTAATTTAGGCATCATGAAAGGATTTTATGTATTTATCAAATAAGATTACATAAATATTTATTATTTGCCCTCTAAAGACAATTGAGAACAATACATACTCCTAGTTAAACCACCCTAGGTAAACTTTGAATTACTAGCTTTTTGAAGTTGTAGTCTTTCATCACAGAATCCATTTGGAGCATAAAATATCTCTTGGTCTTAATTTTTTATGTTTTGTGTAAGATTCAGCTGAGTTCAGGTTATGATGGGTCTTTGTGAACAAGTAGAAGCAAAGATACCTTCTGCCTTCATCACTGGCAGGAATTAACAAGTATCTTTCTAAAGATTTTAGTGGAAGTGGGGAATGATCCTTGCCAACTATGCCTAATAGAATGGCAAAAAGATAGATCAGACTGACCCTCTCTTAAGACAAGTAGAGCCAATTCATTAGTTTATTTTTAAGAAAGTACTTGCATTACTGTTATCTTGCGGTGTTCCACTAAAGTTGGCTTAAAACATTAAAGCCTTAAGCACTGAAGGGCTTGTAGAAAGCAGTGTATAACAAAACTCTGCAAAGTTTTTTTAAATTATATTTAGCATTAAATTAATATTATCTTTTAAACAAAATATAGCAATAATGCAAGTCAAGAAATAAGCATCTAAAGGCAATTGAGCAGCATGCCAAGTAGCCTTCACACTAGAGACAAACATCAGTATGACATCCTTTCTAATGCTATTTTGTACTTATTCAGTCATCTTGAGCTATTATATTAAGCCTGGCTAAAAATATCAATGGCTTTTGCCTCTACATATTTCGTACAGTGGCAGTTGAAACAAATGGAGCCTGAAGGGATGTAAGTAGTTAGGGAGGAGTTGTAGGCAAGAATGAAACTAGAGGGAGGTGATGCCATTGCAGCAGTATGATACAAAAGGGTGAAGAGTCTTATGTTGGTAATTTAACAAGAGTTGCTGACAGCTGAAGTACAGTATTTTTCAGCTGGGGAGATGACAAATGTAAAGAAAACATAAACTTGTAATATGACTTCTAGAAGTGTTCAGTGATAAAAAG